CGACACGATTCACAGTTGGCACGTGGGTCAAGACATGAAGACAATGCAATCTGAAACTAAATTTGACTTAATTGGATGCCTAATTGATTTTTTATGAATTAATTAAAATTTGGACCGAATTAGTAGGCATGTCTAGCCAACCACACCACACGCGTCATCAATAGCTGCGCCATCACCACCACGTAATGGCTGCGTTCAAAAACCATTGCGCGCCTACTGAACGTGATATTCAGTAGGCGCGCAATGGTTTTTAGTCATGTAACTCTATTGTAGATAAAACATGTAAAGTACTGAAAAAAAAATCATAAAAAACTTTTAATAACAAGCTTTTATGTAATGATGCACTAAAAAGTAGAAAATAAATTATAGACTACTATTTAAATAACTATAAAGAAAAGCGTGGGTGTCTTCCTTAACATTAGTAAAGGTATCCAATAGATACTAAAGTGACCCACGCTTTTCTTTATAGTTATTTAAATAGTAGTCTATAATTTATTTTCTACTTTTTAGTGCATCATTACATAAAAGCTTGTTATTAAAACGTTTTTTATGAATTTTTTTTAAAGGTTTTAATTTGACTTCCTTTGTATGTGAGTGTGTATACATGTGGCTCCGCAAATCTTGGAATATTAATTTAAATCATTTTACGTTGTTAGATTGTACTGAAATTTGGCGCAGTGCTAGACCTAGGGAGACATTTTGTTGTGTTTGATAGGTTTTTTTTAAATGAGAAAAGTGTATTTCTTCATGACAAATGATAATGCAATGAAATAAAGTGTGTTTATAATGTATAATTACCTCGAGAATAAGCCAACTAATTTTGCGGAAGATGCCGGAGAAGGTATAGGCCCAGTGTAGGTTGGAGGAGATAGGCTAGAAGCTTTACCTCGATCAATTACCCACTGTTAACGCTAAAGATAGACTAGAAGCTTTACCTCGATCAATTACCCACTGTTAACGCTAAAGATAGACTAGAAGCTTTACATCGATCAATTACCCACTGTTAACGCTAAAACTAGGCTAGAAGCTTTACCTCGATCAATTACCCACTGTTAACGCTAAAACTAGGCTAGAAGCTTTACCTCGATCAATTACCCACTTTTAACGCTAAAACTAGGCTAGAAGCTTTACCTCGATCACTTACCCACTGTTAACGCTAAGCTCTTTGGACACTTACTCATTATCCCTAAACTTAATGGAACTTCAAGAACATAATTGAACCTAAATGTTACTGTACATACTTTGTTACATTCGTTTAATTTTCGTCACTGCTTTTCTCTTCACTGGTCCTTTCAATTTTTTTGCCAAGTTTTTAAAATTTTTCCACGTAGGTCATTAAAATAAACCTTTCCAAGGTTTGTTTTTCCCACTCTTTAAGAATGTTGAGGAAATGAGTTAAGTAAGTGTCATTAAATAACTTTCATGCACAATCAGTTGAAACCTTTTCAAAATATTTTTTTTCCCACGAACCGTTAAACCCGCTAATTCGGTTACTCGTATCTCAAATTTTGTACATGTGTCGAAACCAATTTTAGCTTGCTTGACAGCTCTTAAAAACAAAAAATTTCGCATGTCGAGGCATTCGTATCTTAAAACTTTTTATAAGCATTGAAGCATATAAGTCAGGGGTCTCCAAACTACGGCCCGCGATGTCCTCTCATCCGGCCCGCGGAGATCTTTTTGTTCAAAGAAAAAAATGTTGGTTAGAGTTGGCTGAGGAACTTTGCCCAGATAATTCAAAACAATATGAAAATGTAGCTTTGGGTGCAAATACCATTGCCCGCCGTGTTGCAGACATTGATGAAAACATTGTGATTCAAATAGTGAAAACTGCTAACAAGTTTCGCAATTTTTCAATAGCAATAGATGAGTCGCTGGACAGCTGTTCCATATTTTCGGCACAAGTACAGGGCAACAACTTGACGCACTTTCAGCAGTGCAAGGTCTTTATGGCTGAAGCAACAGCTTCAGTAGCGTTTTCTGACTAGGATTCAAAGGCCGAAGAAGTGAGCCCCCACTTTGGCTCCGTTAGGACTCATTCCTGTAATATTTCTTCAGAACTTAATGACACAATTATTGTCTCCAATAAAAAATTATCAATAATTTTACATCTTATACCATTAATATCAATGATTGCTATGATTTATGAGGTGTTAATAAAGTTAACTTCTTATGTGTTGAAATTGAATAAACGGTTTGCGACTTTGGTAAATAGGAACCCGGCATTTGCGATACTGACACAAGCTACAGAGACGAACAATGCAAGTAGAAGTTTG